CCGTCAAGGCTGTCGAACATGTTCACACCTTGTGGCTGAGCTGGTGCTGGAGGAGCAGCCGGAGGTTCAGCGCTGACGTTGGTCACTTGCGCTTCTGGACCTGTATGAATCTGCGCGGCTGTGGTTGAGCCACTGGGAGCGCTGGAAGTAGAGGAGGAGGGAGCCTCGTTGGGGGGCGCGTTTGTCGCTGCAGGCTGCTGCTGCTGCTGCTGCTGCTGCTGCTGCTGCTGCTGCTGCTGCTGCTGCTGCTGCTGCTGCTGCTGCTGCTGCTGCTGCTGCTGCCTGACAAGGAGGCTCCGGGGGATGCTCTCTAGCTTGGCCTCGAGGATGATGAGGGTCGTCGATATCCTTCCCAAGTCGTACTCCACTTGCTTCAGCTTCTTGTCGCATCGCGACGCAAATCGGTTGAGGAACTGAGTGGTGGACACGACGAACTGCCAGAGGATCGCTGAGAGGGCGCGAGGAGGAGGTAGGGGCTCACCTGGTTGACCAGACTCGCTGTGACCTTGTAGTTGACTGCACGGACGTGCGACAGGTTGATCTTGCTCTCCATCTTGACTCCTCCTCCTTCTCTCTATGACTCCATCTTATTCCCGGCCAAAGCGCATGAGACTTCAGAAGAACTCCTGCCACATGTCTGAGGAACTATCAGCACAACAGCTCGAGAGAAATTGATGAGGAATCTTTCATTCGACACGGGATGTGTGCTCCCAACTCTTGCAAGCACATGCTGCACATAAAAACAGCTCCAGGCTCTGCTTCCCGTGTTTGTGGATTTCCAGCTAACCCACGTCGCACCGTCGCACTTCGGCGCAGACTCAGCAATTCCTACCTTGACGTCGCTATGCCCTACATGCTGTTTCGCTCGCTCCTCTCTCTGCCTGCCCTCTGTCTCTGATACACTCTCTTGCTTCTTCTTCCTCCTCGCTTCCTCCCCCTTCCTCCCTCCATCCTCGCATCCCTCCCTTCCCTCCCCCTTCTTCCTGCTTCGTCACATGGCGCGCCATCGTGCCCGCCTCACTGATCATTCTGTTCCCTAGCAGGTTCCCTAGCCAGGCCCGGCCTGAGTCCGAGTGACAGACGGTGCCCGGTCGTACCCGGGCCGGGCCGGTGCCACGGTGAGTCCGACGGTCGCCCGGGGCCCCTGCAGCCCGGGCCCGGACCCGGCCGCCGCGGGGCCGGCGGCGGATCGGCGCCGAACCGTATTAACTCAGTCAACGGGACGAGGGCCGCGCCTGACACTCTTTTTTTTTTTGGTCACTGTCGCACAGGCCGCACGGCGAGAAGAGAAAAGACAGCGAGAACCAAACCTAATCCTGCCAACTGCTGTCCCCCAAACTTAACTGATACCTTCACTTAACTGCGCGCACTGGGACATTTCCCGGCCCGGCTGCGCTATGCCAGCGCTCGGACCGTCGTGACTCCCGGGTCGGACTATCCGCGGCCCAGGTACGCATACCGGAAAGGCTTCCGAATGCACCCGCGATGATTTGACGGAATACAAGTTTGTTAGACTTGTACTAGTCCAAAGTCACGCAGACATCACATCGACCTTAGTTGTAACAAGACAGTTTTTGCTCAAGACCGAGTTTAATGCACACAAAACCAGAATTGAGGAGCACATGAGAGATAGACTGTATGCTAGGATGTGAAACCCAAGCATCCAGACATGAGAGGACCTTAGCAAGACGGCTAGGAAAGCCCCCTCTTCGTCCCACACGCTACATTGGCCGCCTCGAAACACGTAAGTCGTCTTGGTTTACAGGAGAGTTTTTGTTAACTCGGCGCTATCTGACTGGCACGGCTGGCATACGTTCCATCAGATGGCAGCGAAGGACAGGGAGGCCTTGAGCTGACGAAAGATCCTGGACCAGATGCAGTGACCGGCGTGCAGGCTCCGAGTCGCCGAGTCGCCGGACTGAGTACCGGCGGTAGCACTGCTTGCAGTCAAATTGAGCTTGGAATCATCGCAATGACGAGCGAGCTCAGAGTTCCGAGCGGCAGCGATGATCGGACTCGATCGGTTTCAGGCGGCCCGGCAGAAGTTGTAATGGTTCAAGTAATGATGATGGCACAGGGCCCCAGACGGTCACGGTGGCACTCACAGACGGTTGCATATTGAGTTCACTGTTCATGCCACGCCGGATTGACGCGCTGCGAGTCTACTTTCAGCCCCCGCAAAACAGTCAGCCAGGTTGAACGACCGCGAGTTGTGGTGCACACTGTAAGAACTTGTCGGAGTCTCCGTGTGCCTCTTTCACATGCAACTTTACAATAAATTACGATTTCAGATCCAAAAAAGTGATGCGACGGGTTAAATCTTGACGAAAACCCTCTGACGAGAATACAACTTGATAGCCTTGTCCACCTCGTTCAATTTGGTCTGCGCAGAATTCAGGAAAAGTCATGAAGGATGGCACGATGAAACGAGTCACCTCGAGCGAAGTTTTCTGCCTGTCGAGGGAGGGCGTGTCGATAATGCAGGGGAGATCTGCTAAAGCGCGCAGCAGCTTCAGTTTGTGCTCATCGAGCTGCGCAAGAACAGCCTTCCTGTCCTCGTCCTGCATTCTGTTTAGTCGTTCTTGTCTTGAAAAGATCTCACCCTCACTTTCATTAGCCGCATGCCTGGCGGACAATCGTCTGGGAATTCGTGCATGTGTTTGATAGTCTCCTCCCTTTTTCTCAGCATCTCTTCTTTGCGCTTGATGATGTAGCTCGGAACCTTACCATAGCTCTCATGCCTGTTGAAGGCAGCGACGTCATAAAGTGGTCAATAGGAAGAGGAAAGGTCATACTTGTCGGACGGGCTCTGGTTGAGGTTCTGCTGCTTGAGGGGAGTCTGGCTGCTGGCTCGAATGACTTCGAGAGCGTTTCGTTTGACGTAGTCGACATCCTTCCTCGCGCTATTTGCTTCCACGGACTTGAAGGTCTCACGAGTAGGAACAGGAGGCTTCATCTTCAGCCTCGTTCGCTCTGCCTCGTAATCCTGAGAGCGGCGATCGCAAACTCTCTGAACGCCCTCCCCCTTCCGGATGAAAGCATGCCCGGCTGTCGTCGGCCTCTCCAACTCGCTGCGATTCAGGTTCTCTTTCACTTGACTCGTGGCGTTCTTGAACCGAGCGAGCTTGAAGGGCTCTGGGGCCGTTCTTGGCCTGGCCATCTCCGACTCGGATCGAGCTTGTTGCATCTCCTGTATCCTCCTCACATTCTCACGCGCATGATCCTTGGGCTTGATGCCCTGCCGCTTGAGTGCTTCCCGTTCATTCGCAACTGCCGCTCAGTCAGATGTCACCCGGCATCAAGGGATCTCTCACTTGGATATAGTATCGCGCGCATGACGCAGCCATCCGACTGCCTCGCTATCCCACCACGGGGCATCTTGATGCTACAGCACTTGCGACCCCCTGCAGAGAGCCATAAGAATTCCTGGAGTAGCAGAACCTTTTGCGAAAGAATGTACAACATGGCAGCCAATAGCTTGCCCGCTGACGGTCTCCTCCTCCCCCTCCCCCTCCTCCTCCTTCTCCATATCTACTGACTGGCCCCCACGTCTTCCCTGTCCCCCCCCTCCTCCCTTCCTTCAATTCTCCCTCGCTCCCTCGCTCCCTCGCTCCCTCGCTCCCTCGCTCCCCCGCTCCCCCGCTCCCTCGCTCCCCCGCTCCCCCGCTCCCTCGCTCCCTCGCTCCCCCGCTCCCACGCTCCCCCGCTCCCTCGCTCCCTCGCTCCCTCGCTCCCACGCTCCCCCGCTCCCTCGCTCCCTCGCTCCCTCGCTCCCTCGCTCCCTCGCTCCCTCGCTCCCTCGCTCCCTCGCTCCCTCGCTCCCTCGCTGACTCTCGTCAGAGGC